ACATTCATATCCAGCAAAGTCTTTCAAGGGAGGATTTACAGTTGCAGACCTTACGTGGCTTGGAGAGCGGGCAGGCTGATATCTGCAAAACTTGGCAAGGATTCTTGGAGAGTCACAACCAATTAAGTGAACTAATTGTCTCCTGCAAACTCCACTCCCCTGTCGCTCCTCTTTTATCTCCTCTGGGAGTGGCCATTCACCGTCCACCGGTGGCCTTCCTCCCAAGTCGACCCCTGTTCTTTAGCTCTTCCCTTCGTCTGGCAGTTCTGTGTATGCGCACACTGGGAACAGGCTCCAGCTGTTCTTCTGCCTCACTGATGTCCGACTCCGAAGGCAGCTGGTAACTGTCGGGGCGGCCCTGGCCCCCTCTCTGCCTCCGACGCAGAGCCCTCGTCCGAGCCTCCCCCAGACTCCAGGACTGGCCCATGTCCGTCTCCAACCTCCTCACTGTCCGAATCCGAAACCACAACACATGGTTCCCCCCCGGTTTCAACCTTTCTTCCAACTGCAGTTCTGGTTTGATGCCCGCTTCGCCGGAAAACCCAAATATTTGCTGTTTTGTTTGACAATCACAATTGCACAAAATCTTGCCAAGATCCATTCTGTTTGCCGTTTGCAAACGATTGCCTTTTAATTAGAACGTGTATTTTAGCCCTGGGCAAAAAGATCGTGGGAGGAATCTTGTTTTTGGTTTTTTTTTTTAAAAAGCACTTTTTAAAAAATAAAAAAAATAGTTTTTAAAAATAGAATTTGCACGTTTTGGGGCCTGGAGGGTGAATAATACCCATGCAAATTGCACCCGCGGAAATCCGTGGGGCTTTCGCAACTTCTAGTGGCAGGCTGTTCCACGGGTTCATTAATTTGAAGAGGAAAGGCAGGATTCAACACCCAAAATTAGTGGGAACAATGCAGAAAAATCCGAATGTTGAAGCTTGGCTGAACACCGACGGAAGCAGAAGACACCTCTGTATTATTAGCTCTTTGTAGCCTCCTGAAACTACCTGCAGAGACTTTAGAGTGAGATTCAAAGGGGAAGGCAGATCAATCACATAGAAGTAGAAATAGTGTAGATAGGCTCTTTCTCTACCACTAGGTGGAGCTTTCGGGTTCAGTTTCTCTAATCTATTTTCCCACACACACACACACACACACACACAGGGAATATGTGTCAATCACAACACAAACCCACAATTTTGTCCTGGCTGTAATTAAGGGGGGAGAGCACTGCAATGAAGGCAGCCATTTCTTTTCTTAAATCCTGTTCCGTGCCGGCCTTAAATTTCCCGGAAAATGAAATTTGAGATGTGTGTTTTGTTTTTTTTAAGAAAATTGTTTCACAAGTTTTTTTATTTTTAATACTCTCCAACGGCAAGCAAGAATCAGAAGCCAAAAGCAGATTGGAGAGTTGCAGCCATCGGGGCAGGCACTAGAGGGCGCCAAAGGAAACAAAAAATAAAGCTGTATCTGTGGGCAGCCCCCTAGTGGTGACTCTGGGGTTTTGCAACCCTGCTTTGGTAGATTCTAAATCCAGATTACGCCTGGTCCCAGCCCTCAAATCTCTAGCCAGTTTCTTCCTGGCTTAATCTCAGCTTCATCTTCTTTGAATCCCAGGCTTTAAACCCTCCTGATTGCAAATTCGGGGAGTTATTCCAGCCCGTTCCGGTGGAAAGGGAATTTAGCCAATGGAAACGGTTGCCATTCTGCGGAAATCCAGGCCCCGGTGCTCAGATGCCCCCTAGGACTCCCCAGAAGCCCCCTGACCCTCCCAGAAAACCCATCCATTTCCATGCCAGGCAGGCACCCCAAAATCTCCCATCCCTTCCTAGGCGTGCAACTTTAAGTCCTTATGCGTGGCTTTCTCTCCGGTTGAGAGAGTGTGAATGAAAGAATTCGCACTCGGGTTTTTTAAACCGCCAAAGTGCCCAAGTCTTCCCTTCTTTTCCTTTTCCAGAGAGAGAGAGTGGTTTTTTAAAACAGTGACAGAGTTGGAAGGCACCGTGGAGGTCATCTAGTCCAACCCCCTGCTCACGCAGGAGACCTATACCAGGGATTCGAACCGCCGAACTGCCGACCTTGCTGATCGACATGCTTGGCGTTTTACCCACTGAGCCAGAAAGGCTATAAAAGAGCCCCCCCCCCAGCTTTTATTTTCTCCTTGAGCACGGGGTTGGACTAGAAGACCTCCAAGGTCTCTTTCAACTCTGTTGCAATTCTGCATTCTGCATTCTGCAGTCTGTATTTGCATTCTGTATTCTGCATTTGCATTCCGCATTCTTTATTCTGCATTTGCATTCCGCATTCGATATTCTGCATCCTATCTATATTCCACATTCTATATTCTGCATTCTTTAATTGCATTCCACGTTCTTCATTCTGTATTCTATCTATATTCCGCATTCTATATTCTGCATTCTTTAATTGCATTCCACGTTCTTCATTCTGTATTTGCATTCCGCATTCTATATTCTGCATTTGCATTCCGCATTCTATATTCTGCATTTGCATTCCGCATTCTATATTCTGCATTT